GGGGAAATCTTCCTTTTAAGTGTTTCTTCCTAGTTAAACTATTAGTAAAGAGTGCAGGAGTTTTAGATTTTCTTATTGCAATCAGCACTGGCTTAACAAACTTTTATAGACAGTTCCTTTTTTAATTAAAGTAGTTCTCATTGTATAAAATAGAATTGTTTGCAAATTATATATGTGCTTTGTCTGTTCATCTAGGCATGTTTTCCACAAAGCCTGTGTGGATCCATGGCTTAGTGAGCACTGTACGTGTCCAATGTGTAAACTGAACATTTTGAAGGCACTGGGAATTGTGGTAAGTTGCGCTGTTGTGAGCTCTTCTTCCTCACTCCTCTGAGACCCAGACAGGAGGAATGATTGTAGGGACGAAAGGAGGAAGGGTGTTCCAGTACCCTTACTGAGAAAGTGTTTGGGTTTTTTTACCAATTTCTTTGCTGCTGCTGTTGTTGTTCCTATCCTGATTGGTGATTCAGAATATATTTTTATATTTCCATTTATAACAATTTTTGATTTACTGAAAGTCTGATAGGTTCTCTATGATCTTGCCTTTTCTCAATGTCTTTCAAGCCTTCTTTGTTGTATTTACTCTATAAATCTCTTGTTCTTGTTGTGGTCTCCCGTAGACACTCTTAAATATGTTTATACATTAAAAACCATCTCCTAGCTAAGGCCAGCAAGCTTTCCTCAAGCAGCTCGTGGCTTGTGGGATCCCTAAGAACTGCTTTTGTTGACCAGTTCACAAAGGGATAGAAGTGAAAAACCTCAAAGAGGATTTTTCCATCTTTCCCATATGAGGAAAAAAAAAATATAAGGTGAGAACAATGCTTTTTTCAGAGGAGGGAAATAAGAAAGAGAAGAGCATATGAAGATACTGTCTAAAGCAGCTTTTGAGTCAAGCCAGTGAGAATACTCAGGCCTCCATTTTTAGCTGTCAGTTGCAAATTTGTGCATTTTCTAAGAAGTAGTTGCAGATATACTGTGAATGACCTATTTTTGCGATTAGTAACATACCTGGATTTTAGACTAGGGTGCAGTAGAATTCAGTGACTGTCGTCATTGTTCATGGTGGTAAGCCATACAGGCATAGGATATGATACAAGCATATTCGAGTCCCTTTCTTCAATCTTAATCCTTTTTCCTGCTTCTTTGTCCACCTCTTAAAGATGGACTGAAGGAGCAACTTTGGGTAGAACTTGCTCATTTGTGTGTTTCTCTCCTCTGAGGACAATCACAGGGGCTGAATAGCATGCGTGTGGTTTACTCAATTTATAGTTTTGCTAAATGTAGAATATTCATCACTGTAATGTGGAATCGCTTGTTTTTCCAGCAAAATGTGCCATGTACAGATAACGTAGCCTTTGACATGGAGAGGCTCACCAGAGGCCAGCCAGCCAGCAGGCGGTCGGCGCTCGGCGATTTTGCCAATGACAGCTCTCTCAGCCTGGAGCCCCTGCGCACCTCTGGGATGTCACAGCTTCCACAGGATGGAGAGCTAACGCCAAGGTCAGGAGAGATCAACATTGCTGTCACAAGTAAGTTTTCTTTGGCTTCCAGTACAGTTCTATGGGTTTCCTGGTGTGTGGCCCTTGCTTTGCTGGAGCTCTGTGCTGCAGGGCCGTGGTGAAGGATTCCCTTGCAGGGACAAAGGTGACCTGGGTGTCTCTGTAAGAGGCACACACTCCATACTGAAACCGATAACTCTAGGTATGACAGTGCCAACGCTTCCATTATTAATGGTATATCCATTTAGATCTGCTTGCTAGGGACACTGGATGAACTAAATCGCAACAAAATAACCCTCCTGAGTCTGGTAACCCCTATGAGAAGTTGGATTGCCAAAACCATTATTTACCCTTTCAGAATACTTTACGTGCAGTAATTTATACAAATATAAATATTTTAGCTGATTACTATTTCTGCAGACATTTTTCCCCTGAGAACATTACTACTGTAATTCTGATGTCTCTTAGCAGATGGTTTTTCTTACAAAATTTGTGAGTTAAAAAAGAAGTATTTGATGTACCAACATTTAAATATTGTCCAAGTGTTTTATGACATCAGGAAAGGGTTCCTGCGCTGCTTGCAAGCTCTTTTCCATAAGAACAGCATGGGAAATTTCCACTTACTGGATTTTACCTAGGGTTTTTAATGTATAATAGCGCTACAATTAATATAATATGTGTGGAATTGCATAATTTTTCCATATGCTGTGCAGTCTTAATTTGATGCATGAATGGTTGTTTTTCTGGGTGAGTTGCGAAAGTAGAATCCATGCAGTACAACAGTCTGATTTTCTCCCTGTGTTTTGCTTGCGTGCATCTATGATCTAGAGTTTGAACTTAGTGACACTGTTTGACACTGCTGTATGTGTCTGTAACTGATACAGTCCATTGGAGTGTTTCTTTACATGCTGTAGGAAAGTAAATGTCTTATTAAAAAATCTTATCTTACAAAATACATAGTCTGTATCGTGAAACGTCCTGATCTGAGGAGAAATCCACATACAAAATCTAAATTCTTTACAAAGCCAGTAAGTCACTTTGTCGTGCAGTGTTCGACATCTGATTCATCTTGTATTCAGATTTATTGAACAGTGCAGATCTGTTGGTAGCGCTACTTTTCTTGTCATGGGTGGGAAAATTCTGTAGTTTAACTGAAACTTTTCACTACTTGATTTTACAGAAAGTATTTTTGCTGTCTATTCCCAACTGTAGTGCTGCTCTTGCACAGATGGGATGCCAGGGTAAAACAAGAAATAATCAGCAACAGTTCATGTTGACAGTGTTTATAAAATAAAGCTTCAGAAAAGGCTGTTCGAATGTTTGGATTTTATGGATGACACATGCATTCTTTGATGCTTGAGAGTTAAACCAAAAGCCTATTCAACAAAAGTGTTTGTATTCCGATCTGTTACGATGTGCCAAATTGATCTTGAGGAGGGAGAACTTTGAACAGTGAACATTCTTTAATAGCCTTCTTTATACTGCTGCTTATTTTCTTATGTGTCTGTATGTATATGCTAATGTTGAAATTATTTTTCCATGTTGTATTCCTGTCTCTTAAATGGAAAATCTGGTTTACTGTTGAACAAGCTATCCTGTTTTTTGTTGTTTTTTTCTAAAGTAACACTATAACATTTATTCAGGAGGGAGAGGGCGAAGACAGAAATTAAGGGTGAAAGTATACTGGGTGTACTTATGTGAAGAGCTGCATCTCAGCAAATCTAAACCAACCCTGACAATTGGGGGCAGACAGAATTTTCATTACGTTTTCCGTTGTTCCTGCATTTCACTTTACATTGTTAAGTAATCCTTCTTTATCACTAACCCTTGGGCTCAGCCAGGAAATATTGTTGTGCCATGCTTTTTTTCCACACCTCTCTCCACTTCTTCTTTGCTAGCCTTCTCCAGTCAGTAACTCTGTGGCTAACCTCCTTCTGCTTCACCTCCTGGTGCCAGTCATGGCTTAGAAGCCTCTTGCCTTCCGCCAGTGGTGTTTGAGGGAAATATTGGCATCGCTTTCACCTAAGTCTTCTCCCACGAGTGATTTCCTCCCTTTCCTTTGTCAACAGAAGAATGGTTTATTATTGCCAGTTTTGGCCTCCTCAGTGCCCTTACACTCTGCTACATGATCATCAAAGCCACAGCTAGCTTGAATGCTAATGAGTAAGTAAATATTCAGATGTTTTTATGTATTTCTGATGGGTGTGTGTCGTGGACAACATTGGGAACAAATGCCAAGAGAACAGAGAAGGAGAAAAATGTCATTTTCAAAGTGTCAAATGCCTTTTCTGCTTTTCTCAAATGTAAGTCTCTGTTAACAGTAGGTTCTCGGGTAATATCTAAAGTCCATCTCAATTTATAGTTAGCTGGGTTGTCTGAGGAAACCTCCTTGCCAAGCAGGGACATGGAAGGGGAAAAGAGAATATTTATTTTCAGTTTTTGATCAATGGTCTAAGTAAACATTAGATTTCTGCCATTAAATCCCCATGTTCAAAATTCACCTGACAGAGCCAGAAATTACTGCCATCAGTTACCTTTGGCAGTTTTCACCTCAATTTCCCAGTCAAACTTCATATTAAATAAAAACCCGAACATGTATTCCTGGTTGGCACACTTTCAGCTAAGAGAAAAGGTAAATAGAAATCTACCTTTTTTGCTCTTATGAGAGGGGGAGAGAAGTAAAGAGAGCCAGCCAGCCAGTCTTCTGCCCTCTCACTTCGGTATGCTCAAAGAGAAAAGGTAAATAGAAATCTACCTTTTTTGCTCTTATGAGAGGGGGAGAGAAGTAAAGAGAGCCGGCCAGTCTTCTGCCCTCTCACTTCAGTATGCTCAAGAATTGCAGTCAAAGGAGTGCTTAGACGTCTATGCTTTCTTAATTTTTATAGACACCCCCAGTGCCTCCCTTCAGACAGGCTGGACAAGAAATGACTGTAGAACATGAATTTTACTCTTTTTTATAATTCTGTGTGTGAGCAAGTGTAAATGTGTTCTGCAAATACATTATCTAGCTGTTTACATTCTTCTGGGTGTACAGAAGATCTGGACTCACGATGTATATTTAACCATAATTTATTTATTTGGGGAGTGAAAGTGGCAACATCTGTCTTTGTCTCTGAATATCTTGACGCAGCTGAGTTTCCATTAAATGTGTTGATCTGTTACCGAAAGTGGGGTGAGATTCAAAGGCAGTCTCCTGTGCAGCCTGGAAATGTAGCTTTCTAAATTTAATTTCCTTTTTTTTTTTTTTCTGAATAAGAGAAAGAAGTGCTTTTTTGACTTTTATTGCTTTCTGGAAAGTATAAGGTGTCCTTTTCAATAAGATGGAAACATGTCTAATAGTCTCCAGTGTAAATGTTAGACAGTATGAAGCTAATCTCCAGGAGGGGCCGTAATAAGTTCTTAGAGATTTTGGTCATCAGGAACCTTAGATTACTATTAATTTTCCACATCTTCCTTTCCTCCTCTTTTCAGATGCTAATTCTGAAAGGGCTTAATGAAGAAAAGTTTAGAACTTTAAATAGCCCTATCAAATCTCACAATTATTACTTTCTTTTCCCCATTTGTCAAGATCTTGAAATTACAACTGTTGGTCAGCAGCTTGGCAGCAGCTGTAGCTGAACACAGTTCACCAGCAGTGAAATACAGCTTGGGAAGGCATGGAGCAGGATGAGTTGTGAAACGGGAGTGTCTGCATTTCTGGGCATTTCTGCGTCATTAGGAAGAAGGCAAAGCAGCTGTAGCCCATGTAGTATCATCCAGATGAGTGCACTGATAGGAGTTGTATTTCTGCCTTGCCTTGCAACTCTTCTTTTTGTTGTCTTTTGCTCAGACAGATCTGGGTCTGTTTTTACTGAAAGTGCAAGCTGCTTCGCATTGGCAGACAGCTTGGGCGTCCAGAGAAGTGTTTTCACAGTGATGTTCTCTTAGTACAAACAAAGGGCGTGCTGATGTGAGGAGAGCGCCTTTCCCCAGCGGTAGGGATGAAAATGTGAGCGTGTATAAGCATACATTGGGAGGCAGACCTCAGAAAACCAGCAACCGCAGATAGCAGAGCTGTCAAAAATCACTTATGTGGGTAACTGAGGTACCTGGCTGTAGCCTTTCACCTCTGCGGCTTTTTGACTGAATTCCTTGGGATCTAAGCAGCCAAGTGCTGCTAGGTTCAGCTACTCATTTTAGACAGTTTAGAATGTGTATGTATGACTCTAATTTTTAGATTTATTGTTTCATTGACACCTTATGTTACCCGGTGCCAGACAGAACATTTCCTGTGCTGAATATTGTGCCAAATATACGGCAGCTCCCCCTCATTCCAATTTCCATTAAATGTCATAACAGCATGCCTGCTTTTTTATGCTGTTCTCCATAGAAAAAGCAGTGCTGGCATACCCTACGTTTGTTATGGTAGTGTGTCAAGAGGAAGTTGAGGGCTTTTTCTTATCAGAAAGCAACAGTAGCAAGAATGAGGCCACATAATATGTTGATGCAAGTAAAAGGTACCATATATTCTACATTAAGACTCACCTAAAAACGTGTCCTGATCCTTTTTTTTTTTTTTTCCTATGGCCTTCCTGCAGCTTAAACATATTTAGAGCAGTAGTTCTGGAGTTGTGTGTGTGTGTGTGTGTATATATATATATGTGTGTGTGTATATACACACATACACATTTTTAAATAGTTCTTGGTAAAATTAAACGTTATGTAAGTGATAAGAAAATAAGGAACCCATTGCTTTTTCTTGGTCTCATAATATCCATGCACTATTACTATTAAATGATTTAGGCAGTGATTTAAAGGAACAAACGAAGCACATTTTGCTTTGTTTCTTAGGGAACGGTCAGAAATTAATGTATAACTGTGTTTTAACATCCAGAAAGCCCCCATGTAGGATAACACAACTTAGAGAAAGTTTTCAGTAGCAGTTGTAGAGTTTCCTCGAAAGTTTAGAAGTGCTCAAACCTCTGGCTGTCCTGTTTTACTGTTCCTGTAAGAATGATGTATGGAGTACAGAACTTATTAATGCTCTGGCCTTGTATAATTAGTAATTTCTCACTAACTTACTTTGACAGGATATTTTTTTTTCAGTGTTGGCAGTATTAACTTTAATATAAATATTTTGTTCCTTTTTTTTTCTGCCCCACAGAGCAGAATGGTATTGAAGAAGCGCTTTCCAGACGATTGCCTTGGAGAGAGACACCTATTTTTATGCATCATTTATTGATCATGCAGCACAAGCGATTATTTAGTACATTCTATTTTTTCATAAAATTTGCTGATGCCAAAGCTTTGTATTAAGGAAAAAGTGAAGAAATAAAAAAAAACTTTAATTATTAAATCTTCCTCTGTGAGAATTTTATTTTTGTTGTATTTTCTGTGTTAGTAGTTAAGTCTGACAACCTTTTATAAATTTTATAAGGTGCTTTATTTCCTTGGAACAATTTCGTCTTTGCAGATCTGTATTCTTCTTTCATTTTGGGACACGCAGGCTAACAAGTGGAAGTCTTGCACAGTGCCATTCTTGTGATGCCACCCAGCACTGGAATGACTAACAAGAGTATTATTAGTAATCGCTCCATACCGACTCATTAAGGAAAAAATCTGGGCCAAGCATTCTAGCATGGAACGGCCTTACCTTGACTTCAGCTGAGAATTAATTTGAACTAAGAATGTTTTCTCCGTTTCTCCTCCTGTAACACTCCTGTATCGCATTATGAGGATTGGAGTGTGATTTTTGTCCTCAGGTCAGGCATTGCTGAAGGTCTGCAACACTGTTTCTAGACTTACAACTTAAAAACTTTCCTGTCTTTGGCTGTCACCCCACCCTTCTTTCTGGTAAAAGTGAAGCTGCTCTAAACCACTTCTTCCTTCCTACTACCGAGCGAAAAGGTAGCGTTTCCCCCACTGGCGTCTGTGAAGCCTCCTTTTGTATTTGTGACGGGTTAGTTTTTGTTCAAATTCAAATCATGAAAGACTGATAATGGTCTTTACCGTAATGTAGAAGCTCTGTGCAAACGTGTCCCTTCTTGCCGCAGCTTTTTAACTGGTGAGGAGGCAGAGGGAAAACATCTGTCATCGCTGTCCTCACTCAGGCTGTTCACAGACGTTTACTTATGCAAGCAGTGGATGAGTAATTTCACAACAGTCGGTTAAAACATGCGGGTCTGATTCGCAGCCAAATGCTGATGCTTGAGTTAATGAGATGGGTAGGCGAAGGTAACAAATCGGTAAAGGAAAATATACTTTGATAGAAGTTAAAAACTATTCTGTGTTTGGTTGTTTTTCTCGTATCGAGAGGTAGACATTTGAAACAATGCTTTCTAATTTAATTAAATGAACAGAGATCCAATTTGACTGTAAGATTTAATTCTTTTATGTACTGGGAAATAGAGGATTTAATTTAATTTTAGTTTTATGTATAGGCACTTTTAGAATTTAGGAACACAGCCAGAGCCTACTTTAAAATGCTTTCTTAATTCTTATGTGTCCAGCAGGCTTCAGCTGAGATAGCAGCTTTTATAAAAAGACATGAAGTACGTGATAGCTTCAGTACATTTCATAGAATTAGTTTTCAGTGTGTCCTTGTGAAATTTTGAAAGAAACATGAAAACAATCAATAGAGCGGTAAGTGTGTTTTGAAAGACTGGAAAACCCCATTAGGCTTACTCACGAAGAGGGGGAAAAAAAGCTCAAATATACCGTGTCTGAGGACTGTCTCCGTGTAAAGTACAGTGTGTCGTCTGAGCCTTGTTGCCAAAAACAGAGGAATGTTGTCAGAGCATGACTTAGGGTACAGGCTATGAAACAGGAGGGTGACTTTTTTTTTACCCATCTCTCAACAGCAATAGTAAAATCGAGAAGTTTGTGCTCGTCTCCTGAAACAAAAATCCTTAAGTGCTTTTTAATGCTGTCAGAGGGATGTGCAGGAACAGCCTGCACAGCGTGGTGACCCAGATGCAAAAGGCACCACGAGCGGTTCCAATTCGTGTTCTGGAGAACAGCAGCAGGAGAAGTTGAGTGATACTGGGAACACAATGGTTGACAGAGCTTCTAGTGCATTTCCTTCTGCAGAGGATTTAAATAACCAAGGGCCGTCTTTTTTAATCTTTCTGTCTCTAAGAATTGTCTCAACAAAGTGTTAATAAAAATACAGACACTATCTGCTAGGTTAATTACAGGTCAGGCTAGCAATGTAAGTTTATCCTGCTAACGAAATAAATACATTTGAAGATGGACTCTGCACCATCCTATGAAGTTTTTGGGGTTTTTTTTTACTCTGGATAGACACAAGAAGGAAATTCCCAAAGTTTTTGTTGCCTGCCATGCTTTTAGATATCCACACGTGAAAGATGAGCAATGGTACTCTCATACAGCGAGAGGAAAGGAGAAGGGCTGGTCCCTCTCTCCAGCATATATCCTTAGTAGGATATTAGTAGCATATTACTAGCATATAGCTGGAGACTGAGTAGCAGTGCCTTGCTAAATGGCTGGCTTTGAGAAAAGGATATTTCATGAAATAATCCTGTTGTTCCTTAATCGAGAGGGTGTTTAAAACAGATGGTCTGAGCTAGGGAGTGCTCTGGTCGGATTTCCACATTAAGAAGTTGTTGTGCAGGAGGAGCTGTGCAGGGGCTGCAGCTTGTGGCAGAAGGTGGCCCTGATTAATGACTGGGGGTGTTAAAAAACTTTCAGACAGAAAGGAAACACCAGGTGATACTCCTGATGCACCTACACAATGCCGTGTCTCTTGAATTTTTGGCCGTGGTGTTGTGCCCACTTCTGTAGCATCCTGGGGTAGGTGTAAAGATCAATGCCAGGGTCGTGTGTTTATTTTCAGACTCAATACAAGCTATCGGAAAAGTTCTTTGAGTATATAACGAAAAACAATGTCAGAAAGCACTGAAGAATTCATTTTCTTATATTAAAACTGAATGCAGACTTCTTATTCCTTTTCCATACCTGAGGGAGAGATGTTGATCCTTCTTGGTAAGTGCAAAATAGGAAGAACAGATTCATGGGCTGGACTTGGAACTGTGAATGTTTCTACTTGTCTTTAAAATACATTTATGCACTAAATTTATCAACTGGACCGATGCCACATTTTTAAACAAACACTAGCGATTTTCTACACTAAGTTGAAGCGTAGCTGGGTCACTGTGCCCTGCTGATTCTGCTTCTGTGTCTGTAAATTGTGGGCAATGGTACAGACCCTGTTATTGCAGCACCCAGTGATGGAGTGTTGAAAAGCGCTGAGCAGCAGCAGCTGGATTTTCAGCACTGAGTGGGCTGTGCTGAATGGTAAGGGAGAGAGACATTAGGAAAAGAATTAATGATGTGTCCCAAAAGTGGTGTGAAAGCCAAGAGGTTTGTATCTGTATGGAAACGTGCAGCCTCCCTGGAAGTGGGTGGCTTGGATTTCTTTTGCCAAGAAGCAAGAAAACATCACAGTGAAGAACATTAGTGTGTTGGATATACGGTGCCTATTTCCAGAGTAATTTAAAAATTTGTTGTTAGATGGACCTGTCAGCCTGTTGATTAAATCTCTCCCTTGAATCTGCTGGAGTGGAAGTCTGGGTGCGCACAGAGGAAATGACTGCCTGGGCTGTCTGCTTCCTAATCCCTTGTTTGATTTTTGAGTAATAAAAACAAAAGCAACACCGAGCTTTTAGAATCCCTTTTGTTTTGTTTCAGCTTTGGCTGTTCAGTGTGTAACATTGCAGTGGGTGGAAGAAAGGGAGATGAAACATCCAATATCCAGGGCTCGTTTCAACAGCAAGCCGAGACACGGTCATCAAAAATTAAATTATCCTGACCCATAACACAAATTGCAGAAGAATCTTGAAATCAGTTTTATCTGGTATAATTCCAAAGTAGGTTCAATTTTTTTTGTTTCAAGGCAGGCTATGATCGGCTGGAACTCACTGTTCCAAATAATTTATGTTGCCTTCAAAAATCACTTTTTTTTTTTTTTTAATTTTAAGCTTAGAAACCTGGATTCAGACCTAGAAAGTGGGTGTTCATCATCCCCTACTGCCTGCTTCTGCAAACTATATTCCAGCGCAGTACAGTTCTTGCAAATAAATGCTCCTGGCAGAATGACCATTCTCCTGAGCAGTGTACCTGCTAATTTCACTCTTGTTTCGGTTAACTGCAAGATCAAAAATAAATTAATTTGCTTATGAGAACTTCCCCTTTGCGGTGCTAATGGTGAAGTGAGCGTGTGTACTGGCTTCTGGTGATAAGGGGAGGTTTGGGGCGGGTTTAGGAAGCTGGCAGCAGATACGTTGCCCACCTTGCTGCTGTTGATAGCAAGGATTTGACGCGGGCACACAACTGATGCGCAGCTCCGGCCGGAGTTTGCTGCAGATCAGGATGGCAGCTGGCTGTTGCAGGCTGCAAAGCGAGGCTGCACGGAGCCTGTCTGCAGTGTCGCCGGCTCTTCCAGGCACTGCTGATGTGAGGGCCCTGCTTTGATAAGGCCAAAATTTGTTTTCGCTTTTGCTCTTTGAACAATTCTTTGCATTTGATTATAACTCTAGCTTTTTCTTTTTCAATCCTAATAAGGACTTATTTGTTTTCTTTTCTGAGTCTCTGTCTTTTGGGTGAGTGGGGAAGGAGAAAAGGTGTTTTGGACAGTAGCAGCTGAATTCTTCTTCCTTCATATCTTTTGAAAGCTCTTTAGTAAGAAGGGCATAGACTGGACTCAAAATTTGGCAGAGGAAGGAGGATTTATGCACATAAATTCTGCCAGGGCTAAAACTGCAGTTCCCTAAGTGTCTTGCTCCACTGATGCCTGAAACTGGAGGCACCTTGGTTTGCTGAGCGCCTTCCTGATGAACTTGGAAGCTTTGTAGTTGCCTCCAATTTGGCTCTTGTGGCTGCCTGGCATATTGTAATCTAAGCAGCCTTGCTCCCAGCTAATCCCCCCTGGGATTGAGAAACCGAATAATGAAACGCTTTGGCCAGGGGCCTGATCTGATAGATGCTTTCAGAGAGAACCCTTTGTACAGCAGGAGGGCTGGGCTCCTTGCAAAACACATCTGTGGGTTTGGAGAGCCATGGGAATGCCAGGCGGCCAAGGAAAAAAAAAAAATGAACTTCCATTCCACACGCTGTCAACAGCCGCTTGGTGCTTGTTTTGGGTGTCACCAATGTTGGAGAAGAGGGCTGGTCTCCTTTGGTGCTGTTTTCTAGAAGAGGGCTGTGGGTGGATGGAGGTTGCTGAGCTCTGGAGGAGGTCAGGCTCTCGGCAGCATCAGTCGGATGATCCTTGGTGACCTCCTCCTCTCTCAGCCCGCTCATTCCTTTTGACAAGAGCGCTTTGTGCTGGTGTGCGGC